CATGCATGTGTACATTGACTTCAAATTCATCAAATTCATCAAATTCAACTTAATTCTTGTTCTTGGTCACATAACAAGCTAGAATTCATGCAAGGATGAACTTAAACTCATGAAATCGAGTTGATTTACTCACATAGGAGTTCAAATCTTCCAAATTCTAGCTAGCTCTTTGAATTAACTTCTCAATTTCAAGCTCTTAGTTCAAATCCCCAATTTTGTGCTCTCTCTCTCTCTCTCTCTCTCTCTCTCTCTCTCTACAATCGGCTCACTCTCTCTCTAGAGTGTTTATTTAGATTTTTGAGCTCCAAGGAAAATGAATATAAGTGTAATTAGGCCCTTATATAAGCTTGTCTAATCAAATTTGATTAGGGCTAAGTAATTGTGCTTAATTCAATCAGTTTAAACTAACTAATTCATTTCAAATAAGTTTTCAATTAAATTTCACCACAGGCTCTAAAAATCATGCCAATCACATTGGTATAGTAAATTTTGATTTCTGATGCCTTTACGGCCTTTAATTTAAATTTTCTAACAGAAAATCAAATAGATTTTCCTACGGTGAACATATAGAAATTCAACACACATATAGTCATAAAATTAGCATTCAAAATCATATCAAGCTCATAATTATAAGCACAATTTGAACCAATTACCATAACATAGAGTAGGGTTATCACACTTGTACTCAAAAAGGGTATCGATGTTATCATCCTGAGTCACGTCGATACTCTGTCAGTGCTGATGTTACCTTTTTTGAGTCCACTCCTTTTTTCTTCTCCTCTGGACACTAGTTATCCACAGATCTTCTCTCTGGTGGTGAGGGGGAGCCAGCTGCTCTCGTACTCAGAAAGGGTATCGATGCTATCATCCCGAGTCACGTCGATACTTTGTCAGTGCTGATATTACCTTTTTTGAATCCACTCATTTTTTCTCCTCCTTTGGACACCAGTTATCCACTGATCTTCTCTCTTGTCGTGAGGGGGAGCCAACTTCTCTCACCCTTACTCTTCCGTCTTGAGTTCCTTCCTCCTTTTTTTTTTTTTTTTTATATCCTCCCCCTCTAGTCTTCCCTTTACCCCTTCTTTGCAAGTTTATCAACAGTCTCAAGCTCATCGCATTGTATCTTATGGCCTGACCAATTCATCTCCTTCGTCTGAGGTTCCTAAGTTCCCTATTCCATCTGCAGATGTGCCCTCTGATGACCTTCCTATTGCCCTCCATAAAGGCACACATACTTGCACTCAGCATTCTATTGCTAATTTTGTTTCTTATAATCACCTCTCTCATGGTCTTCACTTCTTTGCTTGTAACTTGTTTAGTATTATTATTCCCTACTTCTATTAGCAGGCTATGTGTATCTCTAGTTGTAAACATGCAATGGATGAGGAAATGCATGCCCCTCATAAGAATCACACGTGGGAAATTACCTCTCTCCCTTCTGGTAAATCTAGTGTGGGTTGTCGTTGGGTTTATACTATTAAGTATCTCCCTGATGGGACTGTTGATGGCCTAAGGCTAGCCTGGTAGCCAAAGGCTACACATAAACCTATGGTGTTGATTACTTGGAGACTTTTTTCCTATGGCATGTCTTAATTCTGTTCGGATCCTTCTCTCCATTGCAGTTAGTTAGTCTTAGCCTTTGTATCAACTGGATATCAAAAATGCCTTTCTTCATGGCGATCTCTAAGAGGAGGTCTATATGGATCGACCCCCTGGCTATGTTGTTCCCAGTCATGAGCATCTTGTTTGTCACTTGAGAAAGGCCTTGTATGGTCTCAAGTAATCCCCTCGTGCATGGTTTGATTGTTTCAGTGCTGTTGTGCTTGCCTATGGTTTTCGCCGTTCCACTTTTGACCACTCTATCTTTGTTCGGCACTCATCTACTGGGAGTATTGTTCTTATTGTCTATGTCGATGAAATAATCATTTATGGGAGTGACTCCACTGGTATTGCTGATTTGAAGCAGTATTTGGGCCAACAATTTCACACTAAAGACTTGAGCCATCTTCAATATTTTCTTGGGATTGAAGCTGCTCGCTCTTCTCAGGGATTGTTTCTCTCCCAAAGGAAGTATGTTCTTGATCACTGAGACTGGCCTTTAGGCGCTCGCCCTAGTGTCAAACTTGGTGGTGAAACTGGGGACTTGTTTCTTGATATTGGTTGTTATCATCGTTTGGTTGGAAAGTTAATCTATTTCACTGTCACTCATTTTAATGTATGTTGTGGGTGTGGTTAGTCAATTTATGCATGCTTTCTGCCAACCCCATTTTATTGCTATGTGTCGCATTTTATAGTACTTAAAGAGTGCCCCCAGTCGGGGTTTTCTAGATTGCCTATCTTTCTCGTTATCTATTACTAACTTCTGTGATGCTGATCGGGCTGGTAATCGGACTAACCTCCGTTCCACCTTGGGATATTGTACCTTTGTTGGTGGTAATCTTATTACTTGGCGTAGCAAGAAACAACTTCTTGTTGCTTGTTCTAGTGCCGAGGTTGAGTACCGTGCCATAGCTCATACTGCTTTTGAGATGCTTTGGGTCCAGTCTCTTTTTCGGGATTTTAGTTTTTCTGTTTCTATTCCTATGAGTATGTCTTGTGATAATCAGACTGCTATCTTCATTGACAATAATCCCATGTTTCATGAACGAACCAAACATATCGAAGTTGATTTTCATTTTATCCATGATCTCTTATTACGCAAGCAACTTGTGATTCCTTATGTTCGTTCTGAAGATCAATTGGGTGATATTCTCATTAAACCTTTGGTTTGGTCTTCATTTCATCATTTATCTGTCAAGCTTGACATGTTTGATCTCTATGCTCTAGCTTGAGGGAGAGTGTTAGAATAGTTATTTTCTGTTTAACTATTTTTCTGGTAATATTTACCTAAGTTAAGGGTATGATGGTCATTTCACTATGTTAGGGTTTGTATATATATTTTGCTAATGTAGAGTGAACATTTACTCCAAATATATATAAAATTACTCTATCTCTTCTCTTCTTCTTCTTTTTCTTCTGCTTCTAAACCCTATAAATCCTAACACTAAATTTCTTCATTATACATTCTAACTATACTCTTTCTCCACTCTTCGAGTATTTTTCTAGTCAACAAAATCTTGCTAAATAACCTAGTCAACCAAGCAACCCCCTTCCTACCCAAACATTTCTAAGCTTCAATAGGGATATCATCCGGTTCTAAAGCCTTATTCGATTCCACCATCTCAAGTGCAATTTCCCCTTCAAAATTCCTAATCCTTCTATAAAATCTAGAGTCCTAGTTTCCCTCTTTACTGCCTAGTTCCTCCCATTTTGACCTCCCTCCATGGTCCTCATTTAATAACTTCTCAAAATAGTTATTCCACTTCTCCTTAATCTTTTCATCCTTCATCAACACCCTAGAGTCCTCACTCTTGATGCACTTAACTTGATTAAAGTCTCTTGTTTTCCTCTCTCTTATCTTAGCAAGTTTGTATATCATTTTCTCTCCCTCCTTACTATCTAGTCTAGTATATAGGTCATCATAGGCTTTCATCTTAGTTTCGCTCACTACCTTTTTGACCTTCTTATTAGCAAATCTGTAGCTTTTAAGGTTTTCTTCAGTTCTATCATTTTGCCACTTTTTAAAGCACTCTTTTTTGGTTTTTACCATCGCTTGAACCTCCTTCCTCTACCACCAAGTTTCCCTAGAGTTGGGTCTTTTTCCTTTCAACTCTCCAAGAACTTTCCATGAGATTCTCCTCATACAATTGGCCATCGCGTTCTATATAGTGTTAGCATCATCTTCCAAGTCCCAAGTACCTTTTTTATCCATTTTATTCCTAAATATTTCTAATTTATCCCTTTTTAGGTTCTACCATCTTGCCCTACGACGCCCATTATCCTTCCCAGCTTTATATTAGCCTTTAAAGCATAAATCTTGTACCAAAATCCTATATTGAGACGTTAGGCTCTCTCCAGGAATCACCTTACGGTCGTTGCATTTTATACGGTCTACTTTTTTTGCTAGAACGTAATCTACTTGGCTCCTAATTGACCCACTCTTAAAGGTTATCAAATGATCCTCTCTCTTCTTATACATAGTATTGGCCACCACCAGGTCAGAATCCAATGCGAAATCTATAATACTCCCTCCAGTCTCATCTCTATCACTAAAACCGTACCCACCATGAACCCTCTCATAACCTAGTTTATCTATTCCTACATGGCTGTTGAAATCACTATCTATAACTAGGGTCTCTCCTGCGAGTATGTCCTATAATAGCTCATCCATTTGGTCCCAAAACTCTCTCTTAGCCTGATCATTTAATGCTACTTGGAGGGCGTATGCACTAATAACATTCATGATATTCTCTCCAATAATTAGTTTAACTAACATAATCCTATCACATTTCCTAATGACCATAACTACATTTTTTACAAGACCCTTAGCAACTATTATTCCTACCCTATTCCAGTGTCTATCCTTGTCACTGTAATATAGTTTAAAATCAGTATCCTCTATTTCCCTAGCTTTCTCACCCGTCCACTTAGTTGCTTGTACGCAAGCTATACTAACTCTCCTCCTAATCATGACATCTATCAATTCCATAGTCTTACCAATTAAAGTTCTTACATTCCATGTGACTACCCTAAAAAATGCAAAAACCTTTGCCTATTTTTCAATTCCATAGTCTTAGCATCTTTATCTGTGCTCATCCAAAAAAAGGCGGAAACTTTTGCCTATTTTTCATTGCACCCAGGCGTCGATGTGGCGGCCCTTGTTTACTTTTCGAAACACTTGGAGGTAGGCACAACGCGTCACTTAAGGGGAACAACCTAGCATTTAATCAATTCAAAGTAGGATCCGTTTTGATAAGGGATCCGAGCGGTTTTTTTACATGTTGGTTGTCGGCTATGTAACACACAACAGTCCTTTGCCCGGCCTTGGGACCGGCGGAGTTGTTAAAAAACCGCAACAGAGTTAGTTGCATGCCCATGAATATGTTTAGAATTTTCCTAAGATGAAAGATGACCAGATTTTGAAGGATAACGAGACACTTATTGATGATCCAAAAGCATCTCAAGAAGATCTAGTTATTACTCAAGTAAAGGCTAGAGTCCAAAGCGAGGGATTGGATGCTATGGAAGTTGTAGGGACTAAAGAAATGACACAACCAGCTGCTAGTGCAAAATATGGCTTTACAGGTCACCACTTTGCTGCCTAAATTCTCTATGACAGGTCTTGGTATTTTTCTAAGGGATGGTAATGTTGAATTGCATGATGAAACATTAGTTGAAAAGGAGGAACAGAGTTTTGGAATCCACAATTAATGATGTAGGCGGAAGCATTCAAATTGAATTGTGGAAGATTTATGAGGGTCTCAAATATTTTCCATTTTGGTAATTTGTAGAATTTCTGAATATGGATTGTGTGGTTCACCTATGGGTCATCTTGTGGGTCAAGTTATTTAATTAGTCTTTGTTTTTGTTTCTTGTTTGGTCTTAAATTAATTTTAGAAGTCAAAGATATTTTAGTAGTTTCTTTTTTTTGTTATAGTTGGTTTATGAAGTCTCCTAGTTCTATATAAAGCTATGTAATGCTTATATTTTAATAGAGCTGATATTTTAGAGAATTTTGAGAGCTTTGAAGACTCTTTGGGTTTGTGTGATGCAATTCGAACCCTAAGTGTGATGCCTACGAAATCTAGTTGCAATGCATAGATCTATCTTCTTTTCTTCTTTCTTCTTCTATTGTGTTTCAATTTACTATTCTATTCACAGTCCTCTAAAAGTGCACTTTCAACCTCAAAACTCCTTCCAATCACTCCCAAATCAGACCTAATCCCTTCCCCTACCTTTTAGTCTTCAATTTAACCCTTTAAACCCTAAATTACTCACTCTGTTTTCAAAATTCAGCGTTGTCCAGCATCAATTGATATATTTCTTTAATGTTGATTATTGGCGACTAAAAAAAATTTAGTAGCTAAAAATATTACAATTGGCGACTAAAAAAATTTTTAGTAGCTAAACATATCACAATTGGCGACTAAAAGAAATTTTAGTAGCCGTAGAGCTACTTTTAGCTACTAAATTGTTTAGTAGCCGAATGAATTTTAAAAATTTATTTTTTTATCTTTGGCAACCAAAAGTTTGTCGCCAAAAACATATTTTTAGCTACAAAATTTTTTTTTTACCCGCCGTATATTGAGTTTTGGCTACTAAAATAATTTAGTCACCGAATGTAAAATAAAAAATTATTTTTTTTATCTTTGGCGACCAAAAATTTGGTCGCCAAAAACTTATTTTTAACGACAAAAAAAAATTTTAGTCGCCAAAAGACTAAAATATGTAGAGGGAAACATTTCAAATTTTGGAGGGATTTTATAAAATTAATTGGCGACTAGAAGTATTTAGTCACTAATGGTGTGATATATATATTTATATATTTGGTTTCCAAACTCAAACCAGTGCCTGTCTCTCTCTTCAGCATCTCTCTCTCTCCCCCTCTGCCTCTCCGTCTTCGCTGCTCCTCTCCCCTCCCTCACGATCTCCGACAACAGGAGCACCGATTCACCTCGTTGTTGGTCACCGTCGCCTGAGATCCATCACCCAAGGAAGCTTAATCGGTGGCTCCTCCCTCGCAGCTCCTCGCATTGTAAGGTTTTTAGCTTCCTCTCTCTAATCGACTGATATATATGTATATATATAATAATCTCTACATCGATTGTGAGATCAATTATTGTTGCTTAAACATATCGATCTGATCCATCTCTCTCTCTCTCTCTCTCTCTCTCTCTCTCTCTCTTCAAATCTTACAAATGGGTCTGTGTTTTCTGCAAAATTGGGAAAATGGTGGTGATTCATTAGCTTGTTGATTGTTGTGGTTGAATCGATTCAGATCTGAATGTTTCTTGTATGCTTAATTCACCACAACTTTTGTTGAATTTTGGGATTTGTGTGTAGATTTGTTTTGGTGACTTTAATTGATATTTATTTTTTTTTGTAGATGATGGGTTGACAGCGAAGCTTAACAAGATTATGGCTTCGGATTATTTCACCACTACGCTAGAGATGAAAGCTAATGGCGGCTGCTACTGCTGCTAGAAATTATGCATCTTTTCAGGTTCCAATGCAAGGTTCTGTTGTGCCAGTACAAGCCGAAGGTTCGGATGGGCAATATCAGCAGGTAAAAATATGTTTTCTTCAGAAATTCGGGTGTTCAAGATTATTTTTTAAACTCCTATTTGATGTTGCCGCGAGTGTGGATACATGCTCCATTATGGGCAGGACTGTATCATTATGATTGATTTCTTTCATTTGATTTATTTATTTTTTGGATTGTGTTTCGCCTATATGACTGTTCAGGGTTTTAATCTATGCCAATTATAGTGATTTTTGCATTGGATGCTGCTAGTTACTAAAATCCTAACTATGTGGGTGTTTGATCAATTTGCATTGTATGTCTCTTAGGTATAATGACATCTTCCACGGATGCTACACATGGATTTATAATTATATATAGAATTCTACTTTTTGTTTTTTGGATCGGTATGTTTTTCTTTTTTTCTAGATCGATTGGATCGATATGTTAAGAATACCTTTTTGATAAAAGAAATAATGGTCATATGGAAGCTGCAAAATTGGAACTCATGAATTGTTGCTAGATTGTGCCCACCTAGTTGGAATGTCCCATGTAGAGATGAAGTTTCTTTAGCTAATCCTGATTATTTCGATGTAATTTTTATTCTCAAGTTGATAGAATCTTTATTTGTCTAAAAATGAAATAAATGAACAAATAAATAAATAAAGGAAATAGAGTGGTGGCTTTTGTTTGTGCATTTGAAAAATTGCCAAGATAGCTAGCACAAGCAAGATAAGCCAATTGGATTTTTTTGTGTTTTTCAACATTTTGAGTCATAAATTGTGTAGACTCCAGACTTCATTGTGGACCATGAATTAATTGGCAATGATTGTGACTGAGCTGATAATTTGTGGTTCTAAGATGACTGACTACTAGGAGAGATGACCATAAAATTATTTTCAAAGCCTTCGTCGGAGAGTAGAGAATACAAGAAACAAATCTACCAACAGCAGTATTATTGTATTAGTAAGCATTTGAGATAATACTTTTTGAGTCCTAAATATCATTGCCACAATCACCATTTCAGGGATGGCTAGCATGAGGAGGAGGACAGACTGCTGTTTGTTTATTATTCTTACTTGCTTGGTCGTCTCTTTGATCTTTTCTATTCACGCTTCACTTCTTGGAGATACACTTACAGTTGGGCCAGGTTATGAAAGACTGGGAATTCTCCGAGCATATCTTTTCTGTGAACTTTCGTCATTTTTTTTCTTTTTTCTTTTTTTAAACATTTTATTTGAAGGTTTGAAACTAATATCCCGAGGCAATATTGTGCAAAGCATTAAGTGTTCTTCATTGCTTGGTTTGTTGTATACGTGTAATTTTAATTTGGATTTTTAAGATACTTCAACATTGGTTTTTATTTTTTAAAAGTTATTGTTCCTTAATTATGGTTGGGTTGAATGAATTTTGTTTGATATTGGATTGAATGTTTATAAACAAAAATTGATTTTTCTCAAAAAAAAGAAAAAAAAAAAAAAAAAAAGAGATTTGGCGACTAAAAAATTGGTCGGCAAATTCTACACTTTTGTGACTAAAATCATTGGTCTGCAATTCCTTACCTTTTGGCGACTAAATTGTTAGTCTGCGATTCTTCAACTTTTGGCGACTAATCTGTTTGGTCGGGGAATGTGACAATTGGCGACTAGGATATTTGGTCGGGAAAATATCACTTTTGGCGACCAAAGTGTTTTACTGACAAAATTGGTTAGTCGCAGTAATGATATATTTAGCGACCAAAAATTTAGTCGGCAAATCCAATTTTTCCCAACCAACAAAAATTTTGGTCACGAATTATTTTTGCCGACCCTCAATTGGCGACCAAAGTAGCAACCATAAAAATTGATCGCGGATAACTTTTGCCGACTAAAAATGGGCTTTTAGCGACCAATTTTTTGGTCGGCAAAAGTGTTATTTCCTGTAGTGCTTCTTTTCTTCTTTCTTCTTCTTTTGTGTTTCAATTTACTATTCTCGGATTACTATTCACAGCCCTCTAAAAGTGCACTTTCAACCTCAAAACTCCTTCCAATCACTCCCAAATCAGACCTAATCCCTTCCCCTACCTTATAGTCTTCAATTTAACCATGTAAACCCTAAACTACTCACTCTGTTTTCAAAATTCAGTGCTGTCCAGCATCAATTGATATATTTGTTTATAGAATTGCTGGATATATTATTGAATACTTGTTCAAGACTCTTAAAAAATCTTCCTCTAAGATTGTGAAAGCAGTTGACATAATAGTTCTTTATCCTAAACTAATTTTGTACGATTTGAGGTGACAAAAGGGTGTCGCAGCCTGGATTAGAAAATGCCTATTATTTATTTATTTTTTTTTTTTGAATTGCCATGGTTTATAGTACTAGTTTGGCATAATTACAGGTCGGTTAGAAGCAATGCTGCTTGAAGCTAAGGGATTGTGGGCGGAGGCAGAAAAAGCTTACTCAAGCCTTCTGGAGGATAATCCACCAGATCATCAAGTAAGGTCCTATACAGGTTCTTCACGAACGACATTCATTTTTAATTGAATGGTTCAACTTCTTCCTTTGCAAGAAAAGGGATGTTGTCCTTACTAGTGGAGATAGAAAAACTAACCCTATGTCTTACATGTCAACTCTTTTTCATTATTCTAATTCAGGTAATTCAAAAGAGGATGGCAACTACAGCAAAGGCCCAAGGCAATCTTTCAGGGGCCATTGAATGGCTAAATAAATATCTGGAAATGTGAGAATGATCTCAAAAGCATATGCTTTCAATTTTATCAATGTTCTAACCTGTGTGGTTGCATGGTTAGATTTTTTATTTTTTATTTCCAGATTTATGGCAGATCATGATGCCTGGAGGGAACTTGCTGAAATATATGTCTCTCTACAAATGTTAGATACCTATAGTTTGCATTTTCTTACAGGAAAACAAGTAATCAAATATTGAGTATTTCTCTACTGTTTGGAGAATTTACTATATATTACCTTAGCCTATGCTATGTGTTCTCTTTTTTCTTTTCCTTTTATGGTTTAACTAGGTACAAGCAAGCAGCTTTCTGCTATGAAGAGCTAATCTTATCTCAACCAACAAATCCACTGTATCACCTAGCCTATCCTGATGTAAGTGGAATTTATTTTAGGGCTTTTTATTTTTATTTTTTTGAAATGTTAGAAAATGGCTTTGAAAAATCTTATCTTTTGCTAACTTTGAGTATTAATTAAGGTGGGACCCAAGCGTTATTTTTAGCGTTTCTCATTGGGTTCATATTTGATGTCGCGTAGTGAATAACATCGTGTATTTGGTTGCTCAAAACCATTTTTGGATGAATGAGAAACGCGTATTTTTTGGGTTCGTGGATATGGCTTTAGGTGGGCTTCCTACACATTTGTGAAATGTGCTTGTCCCACATCGAAAAGACTTAAGGATTTGTATGGGTTTATATACTTTAGCTCGGGATACTTGGGATGGGTCCCAAGGGGTACCCAAGTCTGTGGAAGGGTGAGGTTATGGGTAAAGTGGGCTAGACCCATTGGACCCAAAACAAAAACCACGCTTGCGCCGCCGTCGCCGTCCGGGCGGGCAGGGCTAATACTTATCTTTTTGGGCCAAAAACATTTGTAATTTATTTATTTATTTTTAATTTTGGTTCAAAATTCAAAATAAATTGGTCCAAATTTTTTCCTTCACCCAAACAACTTTTACTCCACCCGAACAGGTTGAAATTCAAACTGAACAGATTTATTTCTATCCAAATAGGTTTGCTACCTGTTGAATCCAACAGAGCAGGTTTTTCTACCTGTTGAATCTGTCCGAACAGGTTCCTATCTGTTGGCACCTGTTCGGAAAAGCCACATATTGTCTTATTTATACCCTGCCTTTCCAGAATTTCTTTGCATCAAAATTTTCCAAAACTCTTCCATTTCTTCTTTTGTTCGTCCTCTTGTGCTCCTGCATCTATTGAACATTTAGTTTCTAGGAAAAGAAAGAGAAAGAGTTACAGCATAATTTGGTTCGCAAGGCTTGATTTTGTAGTGCTACAAATCAAGTAGTAGTCGTTGTATCCTGGGAAGTAGACGTCGTTAAAACTCGAAGCACTAGAGTGAGTGCAAAATCTACTTTAAGGAGATTGTGTCCAACACAAGCCTCGACGTTTAAAATTTCTGTAAGTATTTAATTCAGAATTAATTCGTGGGGTTAATTTTTGAATTATTTAATTTATTTTGTTGTTTATTTTATTTATGCATTTATTTACACATACACACATCCATTGTGGGAATAATAATCTTAAAGTAGATTTCTGTGTATTTTTTTTTTAATTTGTTTGTGTGTTAGACAGACGAATATTTTGTTTTGGGAAATTAAATAGTAGTCATATACTGTTTAATTTCTTAAATAGTAGTAATATAGTGTTCAATAATTTCTTTGATAACATAGTAGTCATGTACTGTTTATAATTGAAATTTTGTTACAAAATATTATTTTGTATAATTTGTTTGTAAATTTTATTATGTATATTTTTTGTGATTGGTACATTTTTATTTCGTCAAAAATATGACAACTAACAGTACTGAGACTGTTATTACTTCGACCTCCCCACCTGTTGTGCCAGTGATAACTCGGGCAGTATTGGTAAATCATGGCGAGAAACTAGAAAAATTCAATGGAAATGATTTTAAAAGATGGCAACAAAAAATGATGTTTTATTTTACAACATTGAATTTGGCTCACTTCACTCATGAAAAAGCACCGGCACTGAACAAGGGAAAAACTGACCGGCAAGTGTTTGCCGCAGTTGATGTATGGAAACATGGTAATTTTCTGTGTCAAAATTATATCCTTAATGGGTTGGACAATACACTGTACAATGTGTATAGTGTCAAAAGCACTGCTAAAGAACTGTGGGAATCTCTAGATCATAAAAAGAAGACAGAGGATACCAGTGCAAAGAAATTTGTTGTCGGCCGTTTTCTGGATTTTAAAATAATAGACTCCAAGACAGTTATGAACCATGTTCAAGATCTCCAATTAATTCTCCATGACATACATACGAAATGGATGGTTCTCAGTGAATCTTTCCAATTAGTGGCAATCATTGAAAATTTTCCACCACCCTGTAAAGAATTCAAGAATTATCTGAAGCATATGCAGAAGGAAATAAAATTGGAGGTACTGATAGTGTGGCTCAGAATTGAGGAGGACGACCCTGGTTCCAATGAGAAGTCAGGAAACCATGTCATGCAGGCTAAAGCAAATGTTGTGGAACATGAACAAGGGTCAAAGTTCAACAACAAGAAGTGGAACCATGATGGCAATGGTCCTAAACAAGGATCCACTAGTAAGATAAACAAAGGGATCAACAATGGGTTCAACAAGAGGTTCAAAGGCAAGTGTTTTGTGTATGGCAAAGATGGACATCGCGCTAAGAATTTTCACGTTCGCAAGGAGAGAGGGAGTTCAAGCAAAAAGTCAGCACAAGCCAACATAGCCGAGAATTTCTATCTTTCCGATGGAGTGGCAAGCATCAATCTTGCTGCAGTAGTCTCTAAAGAAAATTTAGTGGGCAATCCCAAGGAGTGGTGGGTGGATACTGGAGCAGCCCGTCATATCTGTACAGATAAGAAGATGTTCACAACCTACAAAGTGGTGGAAAGTGGAGAATAACTTTTTGTGGGAAACTCCTCCACTTCAACTGTGGAAGGACAAAGAAAGATTGTGTTGAAAATGACCTCGAGGAAAGAACTCACACTTAACAATGTACTCCTTGTGCCAGAGATTTGCAAAAAATTAATTTCTGGGTCATTGTTGATCAAGAATGGGTTTAGATTAGTCTTTGAGTCTGACAAGGTTATGCTCTCCAAGAGTGGAATGTATGTGGGGAGAGGTTACATAAGTGATGGGCTTTTTAAGCTCAATGCACTAACTGTTGTACCAAATTTGGCTATTAATAATAAGAACACATCTTCTGTTTATATTTTTGAGTCTTCTTTTTTATGGCATGGTAGATTAGGACATGTTAATTTTAATTTTTTACGTAGACTTGTTTTTTTTAGAATGTTTGCCAAACTTAGAGTTTGATCCTAATCATAAATGTGAGATTTGTGTTGAGGCAAAAGTTTGCTCCAAATTTTTGGCATGCATTTACTCTTACTCCCTTTTTGAGGGACACTGTGGTCCGAGAGACCAATTGTGTGATTCGGACACCACTTTTCGGTTGCTAATAGCCCACTTTCGGGTCCCGAACTGCGTGTTTTGGCTCCCGAACCCTTCATTCTGGCATTTTGGGCTACCGACCCAGAACTTCGATATAAGTCATATTTTGAGGTCCTTTTATGTTTGATTAAGACCTTTTGCCTTTTTGAGATGCTCCCTACTGCCACTTGCTCTTTAACCCCTCTTTTAGCCTTTTCTTGGCATGATAGTTTTAGGCCTGAATTTTATTTATTTTCGTGCGTTGTCATAAACTACAAAGTGTCTATTTTGAGCCCGCTCTGCTCAACTTTTTCAAGGTCTCTCTTTCGGTTTGAGGTCTCCTTACTACTACTTTGCCCCTTTATCTCCTTCTTTAGGCCCAATTTTGAGGGGGAAATTTGAATTTCATTTCCCCCCCCATTTTCTCCCTCTTTTCGCACCTCTTTTGTGTCTATTATAACAGAACCCCCAGCTTGTGTTTAGGGTTAATAAAATTTTGGTCTGATCTCTCACATTATCTCTCTCTCTCTCTCTCTCTCGTCTCTCTACTCTAAGCCTATAAATAAAACCCTGGTTTGATCTTACACCCATGTTCTCACATCACGCTAGCCACACCAACCACTCCATTCAGCAGCTTGTGAGGGTCTTCTCAAGGCTTAGGAGGCAGCATTTCTTGGTCCAAAAACGCTGTCACAAGAATGTAGTCTCAAGGGTTAAGATCTTCTGCT